AAAAAGACCACACTATCTTGGTCTTCATACTTTCTATCAGCTTTTTAACCTGTTTTTCTAGATCTTTTCTTCGTTCTTGGACCTCACTCAGCATCTTACTTGGAGCCAGGTCGTCTACTTTTTCTCCTTCATCCAAAGCATCTCAGATTCCTTTAATCATAGGGCAACAGCAGCAGCTACACTAGTAGTAGTCTCTTTTGGTTTCCGAAAATAGTAATATAGTGGCTTTTTACTTAGTCCAATTTTAGTATTAAAAGCAAGAAACCAAATGGTTGCAACTCTAGTTTTTATCTTTAATGAGTTTATGCTGTCAGTTTAGGCAATAATTACTTAAGAATTAATAGGTCGCTTAAGGTGATTTAATGAATGATAAGGTAGTTTTTTATCACATTGATATGAATGGACCTCATACTGCCAGTAAGTTCGCTCAATCACGCCTCCTAAAATTTTTTCCCATCCAGGCTATACTTTATCTTCTATCTCTCTCGGATCTTATAAACAGGGCCCAGCAGAGAAGAAACCGGATCGTGCGCATCTTTTCCTCTCACCACACAGCGATGGGTGCCAGGGATTCATACATGAGATTTGATTTTTTAAACTATACTAAGACTCTCTGAAATCATATTATTTAGTAGAATTATCGAGAAGGTAAACTTATATTTGCCACTATGACCAATGACGGGAGTAATTATTAAATATGAACTTAATTTGCACTAGGTCTTTTCAAGTGATTTAAAGTAATACATTGAAGATATGAAGACAAAGATGTTGTGGCCTCTGGTATGGTCGCAGTCTCCTTTCGATTTATAGAAGTGAGAAGTTTGAGAATGTATCAAGTCCACTGTCAGATGCTGGGAATCAAGACAACTACTAAGGCAGACGACTTCGGACTAGGTGCGTTCTACATAGTCTCCCTGACAACAAGGCAAAGTTGCGACAACGAGGTCAACCCACTTCTAAAGTCATACAGTTAATTTTTTCTAAACTTGACTGCTTCTTCTTTCTGCCTTTAAAGATGTCTTATCTTACCAAAAATCTTTCTGCCCTACGAACTGTTATGATTAAATACAGACTCAAGATCCATAATCTCTCTCTTGGAATATAAAAGAGGAAGGAGCTTTGAAGGTATGTTTTTTTACAAACAGCTTACTACTATCGTTGTTGAAGCTCTCCAGTGTACGTCGAATGCCTGTCGAGTCTTCCAGCTCATATGGATCGTGAAGACCAGATTCGGTTCGCTCAAATCCCATCTTCCCTTTATTGTCAAGATAGCCAAGGCCAGTTGTGGATTCGGCCGACATTAAAGGGTTTCTTTCGTGGCCGGCCTCTATATTTCGTGAAATGGCTCCAACATGCCACTCTTCTTCACCTACATCTTGAGCACCCTTACTCTGTGTTCCGGCCATTTTGGAAGAGCGCGAATCCGGAAGGAGACCGTAGGCCGGATGATGTGGCGGTTTAGCTGAATACATGAAGAATAAATAAAGACAAAGGTTACACCCTTTCGAATATAAAAAGAGGATAGCATAAGGTGGATAGACTGAATATGGATTACAGGACTCATTGGCTGAGTATATAAGACAGTGCTGAATCCAGGACTTTCTCAAAAAACATAGAAAGTTTGTCATTTAGTATGCAAAAGTGTATGAGATGATTTTTTAGACTATCAGTATATCTTAAATAAGAACTGTAGTCACCTAAGGTCAATATGGTAATGAAGTACTTATAGTAGTATCTCTCCACAATTATATGTGTAGGTCTTACGATGCCAAAAAGTTATGCTTAACCAGGATTAACTGAAGTTTCAATCTCGCCTGGCTCTCATCAGCACTCGAAATGGGAAATGGTGACATTTTTGCTATAGCACAGTGAAACAAGTGTTAATCGGTTATTAGGTAGAGATGAACTTAAAAGCACATTCAAGAGCCAGCCCTTTAATTTTCATTCAATATTATCTTGCGAAAATTCTTTATTAAAACCTCATTAACTTGAACGACCTAGGGTGAATACAATTCTTTTTCAAGATCCAGTTATTAACTCAAAAGCTATCTCATTACTAATACAAATAATTCTGTCGAATGTAATATTACATGCGAGCTTGCTTCATTGACAGTACAAATATCAACTTCCATTTTGTAGAGGCCCGACTTGCTCTGAATGTTACGTTTGTCGGGTAACCCTTTGGTACCTGTTATAGTGTGATATAATTGAATCCGTTTAATTTCAGTTTGGGTTGCTTATTAGGCCCAGATGAGGTGAAAAACCGATTCGGGGAGGAGGAAAATGCATTCTAGGAGTGAACGTGAAATTAAATGATACCAAGACGTCTACTTAACTTATTCTGAATAAATCTATTACCACCATCACAGACAGTGGACTAGATGAATCTATTTTTCGTTAAAAAGAGGGTTTTCGAGACTACCATTAGATCATGTCTATCAGATGTATTTACTACATTTCGTTTAAGGTGATAGGGAGACCAATAGTTGAACTTGCCCACAATAAGATGAGTAAATGTTCCGTTTCCAATCAATTTCACATATCCTTGCTTTCCCAAAAGGTATTTTCACTCAGAGTGGACTGCCGTTTCGACCCCTAGCGAGTCCCGCTGTATAAGAATACTTTTTTGGAGAGAGAGTCTAAAATAAATACAAGGGAAGCGTAAGGTATATTCACATCGCTGGCAAATCCCCTTATCACCAGGGGAGCAGTGGCTTTAGAACCTACTCGAATCATAAGAGAACAATCTTAAATTTTTCTAGTAAAAATGCACCATAAACATATCGTTAATGTCAGAATTTAGGAAATCCGAGTAATACAAGAACACTTGGCTGAAAACGATGTCCAGCCTTCAAGGGTCCTTTGCACGATAAAAACTTACCTCAGTCAGCAGGACAGGCTCAGCATTAAAGCAGAACTTGGACAGTAGTGTTTCACTCATATTTAATCTCGCAATTCTTCACATAGCAGCAAGGTTTGCTTAATAAAATTAAAGAAAAAAATGGGCTATTCCAAAGTGACCTGTTCTGGATATCGTTTTATTGTGAATGTGCTGACGTTTACTCCACAATACAATAGTCAAGTAAGGCAAAAAAAAGATATTGACCTCTTCTTGTTGGTTTATCTAAAGCAGACTTCGGGTTTGTCCTCGATCTGACACAAGTAGTGACCATGTCTGGCCGGAAGGTGGTACAACTCTATGATGAAGATACACGAAAAAGAAGTTTGACATAATAAACCATTACCTAGTAAATGTATACCCTTAAAGGGACTCTAATCACAGTTCAAGGCAGACCAGCTCTCTTTCAATTCACATTTATAATGAGGCTAATATCGATGAGGTCAAGACTGACTTGCGTTATTACTTTTGAGAATATGAATATTTATTAAATTATGAGAATATGCCTCAGATACTTTAAGGTGATAAAAAAACATATAGTTGAATTGAATGAAAGGACTTCCTGCATTAATGGATTCGATTACATCAGATTCAGTTGGGAAATCTACATTCATTCCCGATATCATATAGAAGAGCAACTTATATTTTCAAAACTTACTCAAGCTGCAGGACCAATTATAATTTCATATTCGTGTA